AAGGTTTGTTACCCAAACGTCCAAATTTGTCTAATTTATTTGAAAGTCTTTCGATGCTCGAGTTAACAAAATTTCCTCGAGATTGACGCAATCTACTGAGATTTTTATTGGTCGACCGTGGAGATGACGCGAAGATTGCGAATCGATGTTTGGATTAATATATAATGGCCACATCGAAGGGAAAAAAAAAAACAAACAAAAATAATAATTCATTAAAAATTATTAAAATTTAAAACTTGCAAAATACTATCACAATGGGTCCCAATGAATTAGATTACGATTTCGATGAAAAGCTTCCAGTCTTATTCAACGAAAAACATTTAGATCATCTAAATGATAAATTGTCTAAACTACCTCCAAAAAAAATTCTTGAATGGGCTATAGTCTCTTTACCCGGATTATATCAAACAACGGCCTTTGGTCTCACAGGTAAATTAATATATTAATTTAATTAACAAACATTATTGTACTTTGTATTTTCAAAATTAAAATTTTAATCTTTTTATTTCTTACCTCTTTAAAAAAAATAGGCCTCATTATCCTCGATATGATTTCTAAAATCAGTTATGAATATGCTGAAGAATGTGCAGCAACACCACAACACTTGGTTCCTCTTATCTTCATTGATACTTTACATCATTTTAATGAGACTCTAGAATTGGCTAATCGTGCAGCTTCTCATTATCGAGCCCCATTACATGTTTATAAACCACCAAATTGCGAAACTGTTCAAGATTTTGAACAACTTTATGGCAAAAAATTATGGGAAACTGATGATGCTTCCTATGATTATTTGGTCAAAGTTGAACCATCAAGAAGAGCTTATAAAGAATTAGGTGTTTCAGCAATTATCACAGGTCGTCGTAGAAGTCAAAAAGGTGACCGTGAAAATATCAGAATCTTGGAAATAGAAAGTGGAACTGGCTTAATAAAATTGAACCCTCTAGCTTTATGGGACTTTCCAACAGTAAAAGCTTATATTCGTGCAAACGAGGTGAATAAAAAAAAAAATAATAATTTTGAAAATCTCTTGCTTATGTCATCGACAAATTATTAACCTATTTTGGTTTTGTTAGGTCCCATATAATCCATTACTTGACAAAGGTTATCGTTCAATTGGAGACTGGCATAGCACAAAACCTATTAATAGTGATTCATCTAATGAACGTGATGGAAGATGGGAAGGAAAAACTAAAACTGAGTGTGGTCTACACAAAGATTACTTTAAAATGAGAGCCGCATTCGTTGCTGCGCAGAAAAGAAGATTAGCCGTCAATGGCAATAGTGATTGAACTTTCAAAATTCCTTTTAAAGAATAAAAAATGTTTATTGTAAATTTTTTGTTATTACGAAAAAGTATATGTTATATTTTAGTTTAGTTTATTTTAGATTAAAATTATTGATACCCCTTAATTTAATTTTTTACATTGTAATTTTTATCTTTATGTAATATATATTCATCAAATTTTTCATACATAAAAAAATAAAAAATTTTCACATGATATGATCATCATACAATTTTCATATAAAAGTGCGAAAAATTTTTTTTTTTTGATCAATCTTTAATTTTTTAATTTTTTAGATGGATACTGTAGAAGAGGAAGAAAATCAAATTCAAGTTCGTTTCATTACACATCAAAAAGAATATGCTATTACAGATTCTGCTATACTTGTTCCAACAAAATTACGTCGTTATGGTCTATCAGAAATAATAAATCACCTTCTAGATTTTGGTCCGTACAAACCTTCAAATGAAAATTTAAAAATTTAAAAATTTAAAAATTGTAATTAAAAAAAAGAAATTTTTTTTCTAATAAATTATTATATACATTTGTAATTAGAGAGGCCAGTTCCTTTCGATTTTATGATAGATAATCAGTTTTTGAGAACAAGCTTAGAAGAATATTTACAGTTAAAAGAATTATCAACGGTATGCTTCAACTTATTATTAAATAATAATGATATTTAATAGAATAAATATATTAAATTTCTTTATATTAAAGGAAAACATTCTTACCATTGAATATGTCGAGTCAATGCTTCCTCCAACTTCATTATCAACCTTTCAACATGACGATTGGATAAGTTCTGTTAAAGGTTATAATAAAAGGTTATATTTAATTGTATATAATATAATATATAATATATATATATATATATATATATATGATTTGATAAATTCGATAAATTATGATTTTAATTGATAAACTTTGTCCAATAGTCTTTTCTTGACTGGTTCGTATGATAATCACGTTCGTATATTCAATCCTTCTGGTGAATGCTTGCAGACGTTGATTGGGCATATAGCACCAATTAAAAGTGTAGCGTGGGTTTCTGTCACAGGTAAATAAAATTATATAAATTCTGTAAATTATCTAATTATTAATAATCTTTAAATCTTTTCAAACTTGTATAGATGATGATGATGATGATGTTATTTGTTTATCGGCGTCACAGGATCGTTCCATTCGAGCTTGGCAGGTTTGTTCTTTTAATTTTATTATTATTTTTTTTATATGTTTAACATTCTAAATGTAGGTAGAATTTTCGATATTTTATATTTTATATTTTATTATAGGTCTCGCTTTCAGATGGAAAATATACTCCATTGTATGATTGTAAAGGACATAAAGAAAGTGTAGAATGTATTTCTGTTAATTCTTCTTGCACTGAGGTGAGGTAAAGTACCTTGATCTTTTCATAATGGCATTAAAATGTCAAATCGATCTAATTGTGGCTCAAAATGATTTAATTAATAATATTCCTAGTTTGCAAGCGCTTCTTTGGATTCTTCGATTTTATTATGGACTACCACTCAACCGGAAACAAATGAAGAAATTGAGAAAAAGCCAAAAAGAAGAAAATTAAACAAAGAAATTTTCGCAAAGGCATGAAATAATAAATATTATTGTCATCAATTAATTATTTATATTAATTAATTATTTATTTATTTATTTGTAATTAATTCATGGATAATTTCATTAATTAGGCTCCAATTGCGACGATGCAAGGTCATGTAGGTCAAATATCATCCGTGGAGTTTGACAAAAAAGATTCGAATAAACTGTATAGTGGAGGTTGGGATCATTCGGTACGAGTTTGGGACGTTGAAACAAGGACCAATATTGATACTAAGGTTTGTCCAGTTTACGAATCGATGCGTATATTTAACTATTTCTAATTTTTTATTTTTTATTTTTTTTTATCATGTAATCATCAGATTTGTGACAAAACTGTTCTTGACATTGCTTGTTCAGACAATTTAATTGCATCTGGACATTCCGATAAAATAGTCCGAATATGGGATCCACGGTCAGAAGGTAAAAACTATTGCATTATTTATTATTATTATTATTATTATTATTATTATTGTCTCAATTAACACCTTGATTTATTGTATTACTAGATACGACAGTGGTCAAATTGATGCTTTCTTCACACAAGAATTGGGTATCATGTGTATCTTGGTCACCTAAATCGCAGTTTATGCTTGCCAGTGGGTCTTATGATGGTTCAGTAAAGATTTGGGATATTCGTAGCAAATCACCTTTATATACAATTCAACAAAATTCAAATTCACAAGAAACAACCCAAAAATTATTTTGTATTGATTGGGATATTGATATAATTTTAAGTGGTGGAGAGGATAATCAATTACACATTTATGGAACTAACAAGTTAGATATACAAAGTTGAACATATATATGAAGTTCAATAAATTTACTAGACCTTTTTTACTATAAAACAAATGTTACAAATGTAGTCTTTAAAGAAAATAAACAAAACCAAATATTGAGGACGTTAATGAGGAAAGAATTCTAAAATTAAACGAATTTGGCCATCTCGGTGTTTGCCATCCACATCGGGCAAATTAATCCAAGTATCTAAGTAATAATCTTTGTAGACGGATGAGATATCTACTTTGCTTGTTCCAATCTGAATAAAGAAATATGATTTGATAATTAGTTCATAAAATCAATGGTTGTTTATGGTTGTTTACTTGATTAATGATGTTCACATACCAAGTCATCCGATAAAATATCTTCATCCATGACTCTAACATTAAGTTCACATTGATTAGTGACGTTGCTATGTAAATAATTCAAATTAGCAGAGCTTGTCACGTGATAATGCGTGATATAAAGAGTCAAAACTGACTAATGATATTTCTTATCCCAAACAGGTGTAGAAGTATCTCTTCTCGCTTCAGTCTTGAATTTTTGAGCGGAATTATCTAACCAAATTTCTACATATGGGTCGCCTATTATTCAAATATTTATAAGTTGTCTAATATATTCAATACACCCAATACACCGTGACGTACCGTAACCTATATAATTTTATGATAATAATCAATAAACATTAAAAAAAAAATAAAAAATAAAAAAATAAAAAATAAAACTTGAATTACCGAAATCATCAGTTTTCTTTAAATCTTTACCCTCGACTGAGTTTAATGAGTTTAAAATTAATATTAATAGTAAAGAAAAAATGATATAAATTTAGGAAAACCTTACCAATATGAATAGCAAGTATTCCTCTGGTCATTGTTTTAATAATAATAATAAAGGGGAATTTAACATTAAAAGTTTTATTCGCATACAATTTATCGTTTATATTTAACTGAATTTATTTGATTGATGATTATCTCTATTTTTACAATAACGCCCATTATCATTATAAAAAGTCATGTGGCCTTTTAACTTATTAACGCTAATGAAATTATGTCGAACGATTTTACTTATTTGTATGGTAATACAAGCTCCTAACTTCCAAGTAAAGTTAATTAGATTCAAGTGCTCTAGATTGTCTAGATTGATTGTTACAACTTATGTCATAAAATTGGCACTCGCTCGTTCCGGTGAATTATATTTGATTTTGGCTGTATTGCTGTACGTAACAGACAGTTTACTTATTTGCGTGAGTAACACAAACCAAAAAAGGAAATCGAATTTTGTAAGATAGAAGTTTAGGGTCAGGGAGTTAAAATTAGAGGCTATAAAAATAGATTATTGTAAAATTTCAAGGTCGATTTAAACTTTTTCTTCTTTCGCACGTGTTCGGAATGATCCGGAACAGTCAAATTTTGTGCATTCCGATTGGCCATTTCCTTTTTAGGGGTTTGTATTACTCGCCAAATACTGTAAGTGCGTGCCTGCATACAGTACCCGAGGTTGGGGCTCCGCCCAAAAATCTGTATGATGCGAATTAGATAGAAATATGCGTTTATAAATAGAGAAACTTTTGGACATCTTAATAATAAGGCCATACAAATTTAATAAATCGGTTCTCATAACATAAAATTGTTGAAAGTAACCCGGCTTTTAATTTTTTTTCAAAAAATTTTATATATAAAAAACAAAATTTTTTATAAATTTTTTAGAAAAACCCACCCGGATAATAAATATACTTAAAAATTTTTTTTACAACTGTTTTCATAATTCCTGGAACACCTGTAAAAAATTAGCCGAATGATTTTTGGTCGATCCGGTTAATTTATTATTTCGGCAATAAAATTGATACGCCTGTACGTACGTACGCACGTACCAATTTTTATTGAATCTATTATTATGCCGAAATAATAATTAACCGGATCGGCCAAAAATCATTCGGCTAATTTTTTTACAAGTGTCCCAGGAAGTATGAAAACAGCTGTAAAATTGGTACGTACGTACTAGTGATGCCATCAATACTCATGATAAAACTCGATAAAAGTATAAACTATCCACGTGATAGGTTAATACTATTTATATTTTTGAAGCTTTGGCTAAACCGTGAAAACTGTGAAAACTATCAAAATATAAATTGATAAAACTTATATACAAAGTATATTATCGAATAAAAGCTACCCAAATAAAATCTACTGCGATTTTGTACCTAAAAAATTCGAAAATGATTATAGTAAAATTAGTTCCGAATAGAGGCTACCTTCTCACTTTAGCCCGAAAACTTTTTATTTTTTTGTAGCTTTTATTTAGTAACATACTGTACATGCAAACCATAAATTAAGAAATAAGAAATTTATTGTGCATTATTTCTTTAATTAATATATATTAGCAGTTAACATTTAATTAAATAGTTTTTAAAAGCTAATTATTGTCATTTTCAATTCCTAAGACCTCATCAACAATATTCGATGCTTCGAAGTCCATATTTCCACGACCTTTGCTTGATGTTTGTTTATGTTGCGGTCTAAATTCTTTACTATACGATTCTGTGATATTAAAATTAAAAAATGATAAAGTAAGATCTGCTAGATTTTCGATATTAAGCTTTGTTTCAGATTCCATAAATGTGTTTACATTTGAAGTAAAAGCAGAAATAGGAGTATCTTGATTCATAATACAAGACTCATCACTATCAAATATGTCATTTGTGCTATCAGCTTCCGAAGATAAATCAATCGGAATTGTCATCATATTAGCACATTCTCATAATTCTTCTTCTGTTAAATCTTTTCCATAATATTCAAGTTTTTTTCGTATTTCTGAAAGCCAATACATCCTTAGTTTAGCCATCGATTCAATACGCTTAATTGTTAGCCGATTTCTTCGATCTCCATAAAACCATTTTAAGATGGAAAAATTTCGTTCACATGCCGCTTGAGATGGCACAATAGAAAACATTTTAATAGCCAAATCTTCCAGACTTGTGTGATAGTTTATATTATGCGATAACCACCATTTAAGTGGTGATTCTTTTTGGGTTCAAATATTACATTATAGGGTTCTTCATAACGAACAAATTTACGAAATTCAACCAATAAATCAATACAGTCAGCTTCATTATGTCCAAGAGATTTCCAATAATTACTAGCTGTAAGACATGCTAGACGAAATGTATGATTTTTAAAACCGTATCCTAATAATTAAATATATTAATAAAAATTATAATATATGTAATTTATAAACTTAATAAATTTGCTTACCACGATATGATGGATGTAAATAATAACTTAGAAGATACGCTTCGTGATTAAGTTCTTCATATCGAACATTATAAATTTTTGTTATTTGTGATTTAAATGAATTTATTTCTGGAAGTTGATGAATTGCCGCAGCTAATTTTAATATATTAATATAGCAATCTGCCAATGTTGCAGTTCGGGCTTCAAGTCTTTCAATACATATTTTAATCGGTTGTATAACTTGATTAATAAAATGACAATTTGTAAAAAAATTATCATTACTAATCGTATTTTTTACAAATTTATTCATTAAACTATTTCCATAATTCGTTCGAATCTAAAAAAAAAAAAAATAAATTAATAATTTAAAAATATTATATGAATTGCATACGTATAGATTATTAAATTACCTAGTTAAATACTGGTCTTAAACGCAGTAGTGAATCCGTCAAATTCCATAAAGAACACCATCTTGTTTTTGTATAATTATGCAATCCGCCACCTTTAATATTCATTGCGCAAATTCCATCTTCAATTAATTGATTAGGTAAATGTGATTTATTAAAAAATCTTGTTATATGTCCACAAGTTTCTATAAATGTTTTGACACAATCGATTTTAGTAAAATCTTCTGCAATCAAATTAATTAAATGAGCGACACATCTTATGTCTAAAATATGCGGATAATTATAATTTGTGATTCTACGTGCAACTTTGCAATTACTTCCAGAATCGGTTACAATTGCAGAGAATTTTTCAAGTCTAGTTGATGTAATTATTGTACTTATTTCAGATACTAAAAATTCTCCAGTATTTGATGTATTAAAATAATCTTTTAATGCTACAAGGTATTCTTTACGATCAACCATTGTAATAATGTAATTATATATAGACGAAGCTTGAGGAGAAGACCATCTATCTAAACCTAAAAAAATAAATTAATAAATATATTTTATTTTTATAAAATAATTCATTTTACTTACTTAAGGTTAAATAGTCATTTTTCTCGAAAATCATAGAAATTTCCTTATTCACTTTCGCTGTTTCTTTTTCAAGAATTCGGCCAAATAATGTTATACGTCCAGGTGGGTGGTATGCAGGATTAAGTCGCATAAATAAGTCTTGCATAAATGGGTTATCAATAACTTCAAATGGTATGCCGCATCCAACCCAAGCTTTTAATACAGCATAGTCAAGTAAATTCTGATGATTTATAGAAAGTGATTCAGAATTATTTGTATCAACTAGATGCATTGATTTGTGACATTTTGTCTTCGAAGTTCTTTGATAATTATTATCTTTATCACTAATTTTTTCTTGCCAATATTTTTGTTTGTATGATGGACAATTAGAACATTCATTGGCCAAATGTGATTTCATAATATGTGGTACTCCTCTTTGCCAATATTTAGAACAATATTTGCAGCAAACAGGATAGTATTTTCTGTGTTTTTCATCGACATTATAATCATTCCATATTTCTTCTCGAGGCCGACCACCAGAATTAGATTTTTTATTAATTGAAGAATCACCAATAGCAATTGTATTATTATCAATATTATTTGACATATTGGTAAGTAAAGAATTGTTTAATTATTTGTTTTGACGCTAGTTTTATTCTATATAGTTACGTAATTCAATTTGATACGTAATAGTAATAATTTAATTTAATCAATATTTAATCAATATTAACATAATTATATACCAGTTTTATCTTTTTTATTTTATCAGTTTTAACAACATATAAGTTAAAATTAGTTTTATTATGTGATAAAATCCAAAACATAGCGATGATAAAATGTTATGATAGCATCACTAGTACGTACGTAATCTATTATGCTGAAATAATAACTTAACTGGATCGGCTGAAAAATCATTTGGCTAATTTTTTTTACAAGTGTCCCAGGAATTAGGAAAACAGCTGTAAATCTATTATGCCGAAATAATAATTAATCGGGTCAGCCGAAAATCATTCAGTTAATTTTTTACAGGTATCCCAAGAATTATGAAAACAGCTATAAAGTTTTGTAAAATTTGACCCGGCCGGGTTATGATAACTGATTTATTAAGTTTGTATGGCCTAAGTATTTCTATACAGTACGAATTTTTTGTTCATTTATTATCTCAAATTTTTACGCGTCTATTTCTTATTTTTGGTTTGCAAATAGTTTTAAAACATGTATTTAATTATGAGAAAAACTACAATACAATAGGGTGAAACCTGCAATAGATTCTAGCTAAATCCACTACAAAAATCACGTAATGCAGTGCAAACAACCTAGTTCCAACAAACAAATTTGACTAATTTCAAAATTCTAATCCTTGTTCATAAAAACAATAAACAAAAAATCTCTTTATATAACTATGCAAGCTAAACATTTTGATTTTTAATAAAATAGTAGAAAATTAAAGTCAAGGCAATTTTATAATTAAACAAGCAATTTGGCTACTTAAAATATACTATTAAACACAGGGTTGGTATGAATGGAATTCAGACAATGGAAATCTGTCCGATGTCTATTGTCCGATGTCCATTGTCTGAATGTCCGATTAAAAGCAATGGACATAGGATCGGACACATAAGATAACTTTCTTGTTATTGGTTAATCACATGATATTAAATCGCTTCATGTGATTGGTC